CTCTCCCGGTCGCCGGTCGCCATGACGGCGGCGGGGTTGCCCGCCGACCTACCGGAAACAGGGCCCCCCGAGTAGCAGCCAATTAGCGTGGCGGTCCTGGCGGGGCCCTCCCACCAACCAATCAGTGTGGGCTTTCTTGCGGCACCGCCCCACCTGCCTCCGGCTGCCGCTGCCTTTGCTCTGGGTTCCGGGGCGGAAGGCGGGGCTGCTAAGAGCAGGACTTTCAGAGCCGCAATACCCTCGTGTTTTCATGAAATATGGTAGTGAAGATGCTTCTACCACAAAGAAGATCTGGGGTAAATATAGTAGTGGTCTTTGCGTCATATCACGGGTAGAAACGGGTCATCTCTGAATTTCTAAGGACAAGTTCCTTAGGCATTTGGCTAAAGCAAACTCAGGATGGTTTTTAAACTAAACAGTTACACTAAGGTTATTTTACTCTTGGCCCAATACAAAGAGTAAATTGTTAGGGGAGAGATTCTTCTATTTCTGTGGTCTGCCAGGATTGGTCAATCCGGTCTCCCATGGGAGGGCTCCCAGTGGCTGTTATTCTCTTAATTCCTGACTTCGGTATGATAATGACATACTTAAGTTTCCAATCTGTTGCTCAGATTCCAAGAGAACACAAAGCAGTACAAACTATGAGTAACGTGGATTTTTAACAATCAGAAAAGTATTTTTGTCTTTCCTGCAGAAATAAAAATCTAAACATTTTCATTTTCACTATAGTTCTACAACACCTAATAAATCAATGCCATTTTGGTGGGTTAATTTTACTCAAGGTATTCTTTGCATTTTGATAACACTTCCAGTAAGACCAAATTATTTTCACTATAGTTCTACAACACCTAATAAATCAACGCCATTTTGGTGGGTTAATTTTACTCAAGGTATTCTTCTTTGCATTTTGATAACACTTCCAGTAAGACCAAATATATGATCAGCCCACAGATGACAGAAAATACCTGTCAGCAGAGTGGGAAGGCCAAAAGGGAAGGAAAAGAGATTAAAGGAAGGAGCTAGGTAAGAGGCCTGGACACTACATGTCTTGTGTCTACAGAGATCAATTTCAACATTATAAACAACCTAGAACCCAGGGGATGTAGACTTCTCAAAATTCAAATCACTTTCTCATAAATTTATTTTTAAAAATAACAATTGCAATGACATCAATGATCAGATCACCTGTACTCCCCCTACTGCTGAGGGGAAAATATATATAATTGAGTCCCAAAGGAAAATCAAGACATTATTATCAGGCACTCAATAGCCAAAAATGTTGTTGGTCCAGTGATATAGACACTGACATGTTCAATGTACCAATACAATTAAAATATATACAATTATCCTGCAAAAAAAAAGCATTCATGAAGTGAAGTAACTATTAAGCCAATTATTCACTCATCCATTCACTCTATATCTAAAAGTCATCACTACAGTCAAAATGAAAAATGAATAGAAGAACTTCTAGCAACAAATAAAGAAAAAAATCCAAACCTTAATCCACCTCACCCCCACTTTGTGGGTTATTATGATATGCTAAAAATGACCACAATAAAAGGGCCATGAATTAGCTGAAATGCAATGACAATAATGACAACTGAAGCATTAAATTTCAAGGAAAACTCAAATGCATGAAAAAATTCCGCAACAATGAGATTGGAATTACTATGTACAAACTTACAGACACAAATAAATAGCATTTTAGAACTATTGGCTTAAGTACTAGAAATTAGGTCTGAGGAATCTCTTTCTGAACTCTGCATCTTAAAGATTCCTAAACAAACCAAGGGCTATAAATTTCTCATTGTTTTTAGTAATCTGTCATTTGACAAATTTGGGGATTACTGGATAAATTAACATCTAAAACTCATGTAATGAGCCAGAAGTTTCTAGTGAGTCTACCAAAGAATAAGTCTCCATTCCTGACATCTGGAAGCCAGGAGATGATTCTGTTTCAGGAATTAGAAATATATTTCATTTCCTGTTTTCTTTGCATAGCTCTGTACCTCTATTTAGACCATTACAATGCTTATGATGTTTTCTTTAGAGAGTGAAATACTTTTTATCTCTTAATACAATTAGAGTAAAATATAAAAAGAGCCAATCTTTACTCTTGGTTATTAAGTCAAAAAGAATTAAGTTTTCCTTCTTTGTTTCCAGAGTAGGCAGAAATTCTTCTGAAGTATCACCTTACTTCTACCAGGGTTCAACATCTAGAAAAGAAATGAGACACAACCCATTCTGGGAACTGTGGCCCAATTCCTTACACTACAGGCATCTCTAGTTCCAGTCTGTAATTTGTCCCCAAAATGTAGATGCAAAGTGAAAACCTTCCTGCAAAGGCATATGGAGAAAGGGGGAAGCAAATGGAAGCTGGCACCAATGAGTCAGCTGCCATGGGAAACATGAGAATGTCCGTTTTCTGGGTCCAGCACAAAGCACTTGCAGGAGTGAAGCCAACATCCACGTTAAGTTCTAGGAGGTAACCTGGAGAATGTCCAGGACAGCTTGATTGAACAGTGCTTTCCAGAAAGTGTCAAAGACCAAATCTGAGACTTCTCTCTTTCGGTTGTTAAAAGATTATAGTGTAAATGTAAATTAGTCTCTTCATCTTAATGATCCATCCCAGGCATCCATCAACTGAAGAATCATGCTATATGACAACACATGGGTATATTACCTCTCTCTCTTCTTCTAGACTGAAACACACACAAACCCTTCTATTTTCCAAATGCTGTCACCAAGCCTATGATTGAAAATCTCTAGTTTGCCTCTCTGTTTAGGAGTTACTACAAATGTCCTCAGCACTTCAGCATAGTTGTATTGTTTTGTTCTCTACTTAGGAAAGGAAGTTTCAAGGTCCAATACCTTCTAAATTGTCTTACAAGTAGCCATAGTAAGAACTATGGTCCAGATGACCTGTCAACAGATGGACAAGCAGACCACAACTGGCCAAAATGAAAAAAGATTCAGCAATTATTTTTAGTGCTTGATTCTTTTATCATTCTATCCCCAGAATTAGCTTTTTCTTGGCTTGGAGTCCAAAAATACCAACCTATCATCTGCGCAGACAGAGATTCTTATTATTACCACAGATTAGATGAATGTATCTCAGAGAATTTATTATTTCCATGAGATTGAACTTCCATGCCTGGAAGTCATCTCTCAATACAGTGTTCATTCACTTAGCCTGAGATGGTGTTTAGATTCCATGGGAAGGAGTGGGCTTCAGCTTCCCGGATTGTAGTTTAGCTTGAGAAGGTTGTTCTCCCCTGCTCAGACGGCTGGCTGGCTTCACCAGTCAACATCTAAGTGCTGTGTGTGGTACTGTTGGGCTGGCATGAGTCCTTCGCATCATCCTAGTCCATGAAACGTCAATGTCATCAACAGTCTAAAATAGGTCCTGACTGAAAGGGTGAGACAAAGCCTTGCAACTTCAATTTGCCAGACACCGCTGCAATTATAATACCAAGCCACTTTGAAAAACTAAGTGGGTTTCTGTCCTGTAGAAAAGGGCAGAATGTGATCATCAGTGTCCCATCGGAAGAAGTGATCAATTTCCTGGAACAGTGGTGAGGAACATGACCTTGATCATCTCCATCACATGGCCTGGGGTTAGGATACTCGGATGATCTGTGTCATTGCTTCTTCATCTGCTTGGTTTGGATCCTAGAGACAAAGAAAGCATAATAATGATTAAAGTACTTTGCAAAAGCAACAGGAACTGTGGCTCTCACTACTTTATCACCAAGGACATAGATACAACTTTGCCAAGAAAACCAAAGGTCTGCTTGCAATTCTGCATAAATGGATTAAAATGCAGCTCCATTTGGAAATGAGACAATAAACCTTATTCTTAAAAGGATTAAAAATCTGATCTGGCCTGCCACTCCATTACTGAACACTCCAGAGTTGATAGCACACCTATGTTGTGCTCTACCTTTACTGTTTAAGGGTCCTTAGAGGTGGCTAAGAGAAAGACCAAGAAAAGCCATGTCATACTATGTCTATATTAAAATATATTTTTACTAGAGGCCCGGTGCATGAATTTGTGCATGGGTGGGGTCCCTCTGGGTGGCCTGCAGGGATTGGGCCGAAACCCACAGCCCAACGCCGCCTGCAACTCCTCCCTGCCGCTCCCACTCATCCCGACGACCCCACTGTGCCTGCTGCAGGCTTGCACCCAATCAGTCCAGCACTTGCCAGCCATGCGCTCACCAATGACCCCTGCGTCTGGCACCCTCCCAAGGGGAGTAGCCTGGGGGATCGGGCTGAAACCGG